AATTGCTCAGCCGAAAGAGCCTGTTTCCCATCTTTAATTGGAAGCGAGTAGCAGATGGTGAGTTTCTTTGGCTTTTTTGCCGATGAAGTCTTGCATAAGCTGTCAGCTGATGTTACGGCTCCCTGGAATGCTGGCCGTGTCCCGGAGATTGGCGGTGTTTGGGTCTAAGTTCAACCTGGTTCTCTGCTCTCAGTCTCCCTGTAGTACGAGGTCAGGGTGGCTCTCTAGGCCGTGCCTCTCCTGCTCCAGGAACGGCCGCGACTGCTTTCCTTCCTCTCTGGGTTTGTTTGTGTGACCCTGACGAGCCGCAGATTGGAAGCCCTTCTCCCGCGTGCTGCCTTTTCTTGCAGACAGCTGGAATCTGCGGGGTTGAGGAGCAGGGAGGAAGGGAAGCTCCTCCCAGCAAAAGGACTGGTTTGATGCTGTAGCGTGATGAAGGTTGCCTGTACCAGGCTGTATTAGCAGCAGAATGAGTGTTTGGCCAGGGCTATGGCTCAGTAAGTAGGTACAGATTTAGTACTGAAAGGAGGACAGGCATTGAGTTTCTGGAGGGTGAATCCGTGCTGCTTACTTGGAAACCACTTCCAGTTTGAAAAGATAAACAGGAAATGCATAGCTCCTCCGTCTGAGCCGTTCTGAGTAATCCCAGGGATGCAGAGGGGGAATGTGTGCTGGGGGTCCCTCGATTTCCACGCCCTTTGGCTCTTCCCAGAGTGGGTGGTGATTGATAACTTTGGGAATTACCTGAGTGGGAAGGGGAATGCCAGAATGTGTATCTGTGGATTGAACTTAATGTTTTGTTTTGTTCTCACCCTCACTGTAGCATTTTAAAATTACTTTTTAATACCTTTTCTGTATTTTGGAGGTGGTTTTATGGGTGGATGGACTGCTTCTCTTTCAAATTTTTAATAGTTCCTGTTGGCACCTGTCTGCGGCTATCCCTTCACAAGGAACTGCCAGGGAAATTATCTGTTCATCCAAATTTGGCTGGGTTAGTTTTCGTGTCGTAGGCTTTTGTTTTCCTGTTTGTTTTCCTGCAGTCGTCCCTCAGTGAGGGATGCGGTGCGTTGCAGAACGTGGGGGGGTGTTGGTGGGGTACAGGGTTGTCTGCTCTGCATGCAGAGGTTACGGTTTCGTTTTTGACCCTGGGGTAGCTTTTGGAACACAAATTCCCACTGAAATGGGAAAGTCTGTGTCTTTAGCGTATAACACTAACGGGGGAGACTTCCCTCTGTAAAGGCTTTTCTCCACTTGTCTCCCGGTAACCTCCTCTGTTCTCATCTTGTAAATTTTTTTCATTCTGTAATTTTGTACCGTTTTTAGGCATTTCAACGATATTTAAAATAGCAGGTAGGGAAATGAAAGACGAGCTGATGGTGTCTGGTACCGAAGAGTTTCAATGATTATTGGGGGTGAGGAGGAGGAAAGCATTATTAGGGAAGGACTGTACTGAATGTAAAGGGGCTTAGTGCAGTGAGTAAGAGAAGAAATACTTAGTTTTGAAAAGGGCTGGGAGATGCTTGTTACGAAACTTAGTGACCTCAGCGATCGGTTTAGCTGCACGTGTCGCCCTGGGAGCGGCGCTCTGAATTTTATGAACGTTTCACCTAGGGGGCTGCTCGCAAAGTTTGGCGATGGGAGCGAAGATGTTGAAGAGTGAGTGGACCCTCCTTCACGTGCCGTTGCGTTTACTCCGTGCGGCTCTCGCTAAAGCGGGCGGCCTTCCGGCAAAACCTCTCCCCTTACGATGCTGCAGGCAGCTTCGCCGCTCGGAAGCGAGGGCTGGTTGCACTCGCAGGTCTAACGCACGCTTGACTGCGAGGAGAATGGCCGCAAAGCAACGCTTTCTTCCCCTGCTCGCCTTCCTGAGGTTATCTTAGAGTGCCTCAGACTCGAAAGCAGGTTTTGTGTTCATTAACCCATCAGTCACGAGCCGGGTGGTGACGGACGTGCAGAGCTCCGGTGGGTTGTGTGCAGCTCCTCTGCTGCCCAAACTCCCATCCAGAGCGAAAGCTGCAAACCGCACCAAACTGGTCCCTGAACGTGTATTTATGTGCTAATTTCAAACACCCTTCAGCACACAATGCTCTGTAACACTGGCAGTTGTGAAAGAACTCGGGTTTATCACAACCCAACACTTCTAACACGATTAACGTGCTTTTTTTCCCCCCGCTCTTGGAGTTCTGGTTTAACCCTATTCGTGCAAAGCTGCGAGCTGTCTTTTCTGTGCATCTAGCTCATCTTATTTACAGTCTGTTCTCACAATTACTGTTCTGTTTATGCTGTTGGTTTAACTAAGATGACTGCTGTACCTTTTCGTTGTAGATCAACGCTAAAGCGAGCAGGACCACCTCCGCTACCTCCGAAGGTAAGAGATGGTGGTTCATGAGGGTTTTGGTTGACAAACCTCACTTAGGCAGCCTCTGCAGCACTTCTGCCTGATGCTCTCAGTAGGTTGTAACTTCAGTTCAAATACCATTTGCTGCAGACTTTGTGCAGCTTCTTGTGTTATGCTGACTTGCGGCCTGTACGGTCTCGACGGCTGCGGAGCCTGGCCTCGTACGCAGCCCAGGACAAAGTGTCTTGCAGGTAGTTTCCCTCTAAAGAGAGCATGGGATGTCCTCTTGTTCAGCATTCTGCCTGCTGCTGTGGTTTTCCAGCAGGGAAGGAATACATCTTAGGTTATTCTGCTGTCAAATGTCTTTTTTCAAAGGCTGGGTGTTGGGTTTTTTTAAATGCAGAGGTGGTCTGACTTGAATTAAACTTGTCTGAAGTCTGTATCCTTCCAGGTGCCATTTCCCAGGTAACCCTCACCTCTCTGCTTTGTTGCAGCCAAGAATAAACAGTTATCCTGAGGAAAACCTCCCAGACGATGAGAAATGTCAGACAATAAAACATTTCCCAGACTCGCAGAACAGAGCTCCACCAGCTCACAGGAGACAGAGTATCCCTGTTTGCGGGCCTCAGGCTGATTCTTCCCTCCTTGGTATGACCAGCAGCATCAGCAGCCCGGGATTGCTCACAGCGAGATACAGCGACTTGAGTAAATGCTTTTCCTAAAGGGGACTTGCATCCTATAGAAGGAGATCAGTTCTGGAGTCAGCTCTTCTCAGGAGATACTTGTTTTAGTACAGGCTGATCGCGAGGTGCAGCTTTCTACCCGTTTGCTGCTTCTTACTAGAGTTGTGATCCACGGTGGAAACGTTCTTCCCCAAACAAGGAAGCTTAAAAAGCCAGTTCATACCATTCCTGTGTTGCCTGCAGGGATAGCATAAAAACGAGGAGTCTCCCAGGACCTTGCCACAGCTTTTTTCTCAGTTGTGTTTGGCCCAGGGACTGTTTGGATAGTGGAAAGACTTTATTGAACCGTGTAGCTTAGCAGGCAGGAGCGTGGCCAGCTGTCCGTGGGGAGGGTTCAGCTACCTGAGGTGTATATATAGCAGCGTCAGAGCTCACCCTGCTCTGCCCTCGCTAGGCACAGGGGAGAATAGAGAGTAGGGCAGCAAAATATTTCCTATTTCGCTGTGTCGAGTGAGCTACAAAATGTGTCTGGGCTTCTTTTTAGGAAACGGGGATGGCATGCTGAAACTCATTGAAGAGAACGCAGAAGGGTCCGGACAAATCCCGCAGCTGCCCCGTAAAAAAGAGAAAAGAGATTTTCCTGTGAGCATTGCGACTCTCGGTCTGATTTTGCTGTCATGTTAGCTAGCTAGTTTCATATCGGTGCGTGGGAGGTGGTTTATTATCTCTCTTTCTTCCCACAGAAGCCAGCAATCAACGGTTTGCCACCGACACCGAAGGTGCTGGTAAGAAATCTCATTTGCAGTAGGAGTTGTTGGAAGCTGCTGTCATGGCATCGCTCCAGTGTCAGAAGGTTTACACTAGAATAAGCCACCAGCTCATCTGGGGCGGTTTTCTACAGCTCGCAGCCAGTACTTTTCATGTACTGAATCCACAGTATTTGTTTCCTTCTCTCAAAAACTTCCTTTCGTCATTCAGTCTGGATGCGAAGGGTTGGAGACTTCACTGGCTCTGTGGGCTGTGATCTCCAGTGGCGGTAAAGAGAAAGGGGGAGAGGGGGTAGTGAGGTGAGAGGATGTTATTACTTCAACATTTCTGCTTGTTTCCCCTTCCTATGCCATTTCTAAGCACTCAGTATTGTTCTTACCCCATAGGTAAAATTGGTTTTATCATTCTGCCCCTTCTTTGTGTTGTTTAACGTACATGAAGGCTACGGAAAGGTTTGGCAGGCTGCGTTGTACCTTCCAGGGAAGGTAAAAATGCTTTGCTGAAGGCACGTTGGAGTCAGTTTGTGCCTGAGAAGAGGGAGCAGCGGTGTGTACGGTGTGCAGGAAGCGGCCCGGTGCCGGCAGAGAAACGCGTTAGACTGTCAACTTCTTTCAGGTTTCGGCGTTGGTGTTTTTCAGATGGGAGCGTGTTTTTCCAAAGTCTTCGATGGTTGTCCTTTGAAGATTAACTGTGCAACGTCGTGGATACATCCAGATACTAAAGGTAACGTTGGTTTAGGTTTGTATTTTAAACCCACCTGTTGCCAAAGGGGTGATGAGCTTGGGAAATAATCCATTTCTCTTCAATTTTTAGACCAGTACATTATCTTTGGCACGGAAGAAGGTATCTATACTTTAAATCTGAATGAACTTCACGAAGCCACCATGGAGCAGGTGAATTTTGGCGTATTGAAGACACAGAATAGATTTGGGGAAGCAGTTTGATGTTAGAGTGGGTAGGTGGGATGTCAGGCTTTGTGGCGTAAACTGATTCACAGCAAAGCGAGACGTGGAAGTTCTGAAAGGAACCGTTCCCCTGTCTGCCTGCGTTTTTTGTTGCTGCTTGTCTAACATTGCTTTCAGAGGAGCTCTCTGCTAAAATGTCTGTCTTGGAGACAAAGATTCCCTGCCCTTTTTTTCTCCGTTTTGTCTCCACTAGATGGCACATCGCGTCTCCATGGGTGCTACCAAAGCCCTTTAATGTAGCTGGTGGTGTTACCACCGATAGATATGTCATTCCTTCTGTTTTCTGGGGCTCTCTAACCCCTTTCCAAAGCCACTTCATGTAATCCTGGTATCGGTACATCTGCTTTTTCAGAATCAGGAGCAGTTTTCTTGGAGGGGAAGCCTTGGCAGATGCTGCTGCTGAAATTTATACCTGTAGGTTTCTAAAGCAGTTCACAAAGGCCACTTCAGGCCTCTAAAGAGCGTTAGGTTCAGCTGGGACACGGCCCAGGTCAGAAGGCAGAGGTGGTAGGGTGCGTGGGTCTGTGAGTAACAGTGAGAGAAAGATGATCTCACGGGAAGGGCGCCGCAGAGAGATCTGCGCTTCAGCTGGGACGCGGCCCAGGTCAGAAAGCAGAGGTGGCAGGGTGCGTGGGTCTGTGAGTAACGGCGAGAGAAAGATGGTCTCACGGGAGGGGCGCCGCAGAGAGATCTGCGCTTAGGAGAGAGCGCTCTGCTGCTGGGAGCGTCGCGCTAGGGGACAGAACTCAGGGAAAGGGAAGCAGTTCAGCAAGGCCATGGAGGGGGTACTTTGGCGCGGCCCAGGTCAGAAAGCAGAGGTGGCAGGGTGCGTGGGTCTGTGAGTAACGGCGAGAGAAAGATGGTCTCACGGGAGGGGCGCCGCAGAGAGATCTGCGCTTAGGAGAGAGCGCTCTGCTGCTGGGAGCGTCGCGCTAGGGGACAGAACTCAGGGAAAGGGAAGCAGTTCAGCAAGGCCATGGAGGGGGTACTTTGGCATGGACAGAAGCGAGAGGAGGCTGTAAAGGGTTTGATGGTGAGACTTGGGAATTTGAATTTAATACAATCAGAAGATCCTTTGGAGTTAAGAGGGCTGGGGGTGCACCTGAATGCAATAGGGTAGCATTGAATAGGAAGTTGTTCTTCTTTTTGTAGTCTCAGTAGACATGAGGAACAGCTACTTGCTTTTAAAATAAATGTTTAAACTTTGTGGTGGCAGCTGTGAGAGAGCCCTGGCCTTCTTACCTCAGTTTTCTCTTCACTCCATTAGTCAAAGCAACCTCTTTCCTTGTACATTTTCCTGAATTACTCCATATAACAGTCTTCCCTGGACTCTTCCACACACTTTTTTATATCCTAGTGAAAGGTTAGATACGCCAGTGGTGGGTAGAGATGCACCCCAAAATGAAAGTTTCCTTTTCTGTGAGGGCATCCTCGGTTGGCCGATGTGTGATCCCCTTCAAACCCCAGAGGCTTTACCGCGGCGCTTCCACCCTGCCACTTGTTTCCTTTTTGCTTTTATTCGTCTTATTTCTCCCCACCAAAGGCACATTTTTAACTGTTTCTCCGACTCCTGATTCTGATTGCATCTGCCAGAGTGCTTGCTCTCTTCCCAAGGTTACTGTCTCCCACTTCCAGAAGTACGCTTTCATTCCACTGTTAGTTTTTCAGTGAAAATACTGCATAGAACCAGACGTAGAGAAGACACTAGATAACTTCAGGCTGCTTTTTCCGTCTCTTGAATAGTAAATTGCTGGCAGATACTCTGGTTTTATGTCCCACCAGGTGTATGTTCTCTTTCTGCAGTTTCACCTACCCCATGTTTTCTTATTTGGCACGTGGAAATGGCAGCAGGACAAGGTCCTTCACGTGTTTCACATCTTCCTGTTTCACTGCCCCCGACAGGGCAGTTGTTCTGTTACAGGAGGAAATTTTACTCCGTTAAAGAAGGAAATTCAGGTGTTCAAATAGAGCCTGGTCTGCACTACCTGCTGTTGTTATCCCTTGCTAATTAAAAAGCATTTGGCTTGTTCCTGTGCCACTCCAGCTATCCAGCCAGTCAGACTGTTTTGTAATTCCCACAGCCCTCTTTGTTTGGTGTAGGTACTGTGTCCTTCTCGAGGTCCTTGGTTGTCCTCCACCCGTTCTTGAAGATAATCACTACTGAGACCTCGGGGTTTGAGTCAGCCCTTCCGTAGTGTAAAGCAGACTTCACTGGGACCTGCTGACATCAGTATGTCCAGTACAACAGTGCTGGAGGTGGAGCAGGCAGGGAAAACCAGGCTTGCAAATTCTTGTGTGTTTCTATTAATGGAAATGTTTTCTTTCTTCAGTTATTTCCCAGAAAGTGCACCTGGCTGTATGTTATCAATAACACCCTAATGTCCTTGTCAGGTACGTATGCGTAGTGGGGAAATTCGTAACACTACAAATAAGGAGAAACCTTCAGAGTCGACGTACAGCTGAGTACAGTGTATTTTGGTGGCACTGAAGTAGAAGGCTGTGTGGGAGGCTTTGCTTCAGGAGTGTTTCAATGTGAAAGACTTTCAGAGATAAAACTGGACGTCTGCAAGTAGTGGGGCTACATATTTTTTTCACTTATTTTTAGATATTTTGGAAAAGCTTGGCACTTGGTATTTGTCAAAAGAGTTGCCTCTGCCAAGGCTGCAGTTTGGCTGAGAGCACCCGGAAAATGTAAAGTGTCCCCTCCTCTTTGGTCCCCGAGCTGGGAGAGTCGGAATAAGGATGGCTTTCCTGCGTCAGGACGGAATCAGGGGAGGCGTAACAGGGGTGCCTTACCAAAATGCAGCTGCAGCGTTGTATCACTCAGCGTGTCGTAGCCTGACAGCATCTTTGGCATGAACCAGACTGAGAAAATAAATCCACCCTAAACCAAAACCACTGTCAATCTGAAGGAGAATGAGGTGGCTGTGAAATACTACTAATCCAGCAGATTGATTCTTGAAAAAAGGAAAATTTCTTGTCATCAGTTGTCCTGGAGTAGAACATTTTAGCTAGGAAACAGGGGCAGACTCCATGTAGGACTGAGCCCTTAGGCGTGCAGGGGCTTGCGTGACACCGCTTCAGTTGACTTACAGATTAAGAACAAGTCCTGATACAATGAATTGTTGTATAATTACAGCCTTCTAAAAATGTTTACGTAAAACTGACTTTCAGAGCTGCGTTAGTGTTACTGAAACGAACTTTTGAGTTGAATGTCGTGTCTTCTCCATATGCATTATTTTTGTTGTCTTCTTTTGGTTTTCCTCGCAACCGGGCTTGAAATACCTGGCGCACGTGCTCCGTTTTTTCAGAAGGTAAGTTTCCACACCTACGTTCACCTGGAGCGCGCGGTTCTCCGCTGGAGGCATGGGTGCGATGGCAATTGTGCTTTTCCTCTCTTGCAGGGAAAACATTCCAGCTCTACTCCCACAATTTAATAGCTTTGTTTGAACAAGCCAAGAAAACAGGATTAGCTGCTCACATTCAAACCCACAGGTTTCCTGACAGAATATTACCAAGGTACCAATCTTTGGCTTACAGACAGTTATTAACAAGTGAAAATTCCCATAAATACTGCTTGTGCTGTGGAACTGGCAGCAGGAAGGGCCTTCGGCCTCACGTGTTGATGCGGGTTGTTTCCTAATTGTTATTCCAGGAAGTTTGCCTTAACGACAAAGATCCCCGATACAAAAGGATGCCACAAATGCTGTATAGGTGAGTAAACGTTGTTCTGCACTGGTTTCTTTTTAATAAACTTCTAGTCTGTTCATTGTTCAGGAAGCAGCATGACTGCGTTGTTTGTTAATGCTGTGCCTAACTGGTGCGTAGCTTTCCTTTTAATTAAGAAATTTCCTTCTAATTTAAGAAATTAATGCAGGGGTCTAGATGCTGTTCAGTGGGAAAAGGGATTTTCTCATCAGCTCGTAACGTAGAAATGCTGCTGGCTGGAGCAAGGTCCAGAGGGAAGGGCTGAACAGTGCCGATAGCTCGCAGCTGCCGACGCTGCGCTCTCTTGGAGAGCTGCTGAGGCTCTCGGTGACTCCATGTTTGGGATCCCTGGCTTCAGGCTGCCACCGGAGCCAACTGGTTACTGTGACCTGCCTGCGACTGTAACGCTTGTTGCGGGATCCCAGACCTGTTGCACATACACAAATACCCTCTCTGCTTTCTCACTTTGGCTCAAGGTTCGGCCTAGATCCAGCCTTTAGCGAGGCTAACTTGAATAAAGGGCTGGACATGAGTAAAAGTGATGTCAGCCTGGGGAGGGGTGAAGCCGTCGCCCCAGTTGTAAGTGCACGTGAAAGAGTTAAAGCTTGGGAAGCTATAGATTTGTCTTTGGCTTCACTGACTTTCAAAAAGCCTTGGACTCTCTACAGAACGCGTGTCCTGTTGAAAACTGGTCCTAGTGCTGTGTGAAATGGTACCTTTACACTCCAAAATGCTGAAGTAGAGTTTAAAGTACCTGGTTGCCACCTTGGGCATCCTCTTCAGCTTATACGAAGTGTGTACAGTAGGCATATTTACAAACGATTCCTGAAGTCAGGCTGGTCCTGTATCCAACTGAGCTTAAAGACCAACAAACCCTTTCTCACATTATTGCCTCAGCTGTCATGCCAGGTTACGGGGCACCTTGGATGCTTGGGGATTTCTTAATTTAATTCACACCCGGCCCTTTCCCTCCCCCTGCTCACACAGCCCCAGGCAGGAGGTGTTACAGCTTCTCTGGCCACTCAGCATGTGGCCTCTTTACTGGCACTCAAAGAACGCTACTGGCTGTTAATTATTAGTGTAATTGAACTTACGTGGCTGTGGGTATTTGCATGGCGAGCCAGAAGGCAGTTAGTGTGAAACTGATGCTGTTTCTTAAATTGTTTGCAAAGACAACTGTAGGTTTGGGATTTTTTTTCCCCAAGTATGGAACTTCCAGGACTTTAAGAAAATTGTTTTCTGGGTTTTTTTTGTTTGTTTCCTACAGTACGAAATCCGTACACGGGACACAAGTACCTGTGTGGCGCATTGCAGTCCGGAATTGTTCTGCTACAGTGGTATGAGCCAATGCAGAAATTCATGTTAATAAAGGTAAGTATTTCTTCCTAGTTTAGAACATTTAATCACCATGCAGTTGTTGAAATAACCTTTTCAGAATCTGTAATGGAAAGTACATCCCAGTTTAATCCCATTTGTGGGTGAAAGTCTGGCTGGACACATTTTGACTAAGGCAGTCTTGTGACTGAAGTCAAAGTGTTGGACCAAGCCCAGTTCTAGTCATAACAGACCAGCGTATCCCTCTGTGCAGTGTAACGTTGCTCGCAGCTCAGGCTGCCTCAAAAAAGCACTCTTAGTAGTCTGTATCTTTTACATTTGTGCATGGTATTTTCAACTTCCTGTTTCCAAGCTAAAAGGAAACTTTACAGATGCCTCGTTATGGTTTTTTTTGTTGCAGCACTTTGATTTTCCTTTGCCAAGCCCTTTGAATGTGTTTGAAATGCTGGTGATCCCAGAGCAGGAGTACCCCATGGTCTGCGTAGCTGTCAGCAAGGGTACTGAACCAAATCAGGTAGTTCAGTTTGAGACAATCAACTTGAACTCTGCTTCTTCGTGGTTTACAGAAATTGGTGCAGGTAAGGCTCGTGGTCCGTCTTGCAGCCCTTTTATTGCCTGGTAACTGCTGCCTGTCCCTTTGTGTCACGAGGAAACCCTTTAGGCTGGGTGCAATGATGCAGCTTCTCCACCTGAAGGACACTGGACCTGATCCCAGGTCCTTCTTGTGGTGAGCTGCCGACTTCAGTATGAACGGTCTTTCTTAAAGACTTCCTAAAACTTAAAGTTTTAGGCACACGGTCTATTTTCCCTATTTCCCTGAACAGTGATGCCGTCCCCGCTCATTTGCAGTTACGTACTTTTTCCTGGGGTCACTCTTGATCCTCTTTCCCCTTCTTCCCTGTGTAAGGACCCCTATAAATGCACTCTTGTCTGTGCTCCAGCCCTGAGGGAGGTTTGTCATCTTCAGCTGGCTGTTAATAAGTAGAAGATTGTGGTTTATCTTCAAAACCAGCTGATGTCTTGCAGATGCTTTTCTCTCCTGGCTTTGTGGGATATTCATTTTTACATCTAAATACTGCTTTTTAGCAGCTGTACCAAGGTCTGCATGAATAAAAACTTATTAAATCTTGTTTAATATCAGCACAATAATCTTTCCAGATGTGGATTTATGGAAAAAGATTATTGTTTTAGGAGCAAATACCCCCTTGATCATTCCTTTTGTTTGTTATTGTACCTCTTGATGAAGGAAGCTGACTTGCTGTGCTGAACTGTAACATAAAATGTGTTTTATGCCAATAGAGAGTACTGCTTTCATATTAAATACCCGCTTGGAACTGATGGGTTTGTCCTTAGGCACCGTACTCCTCCCAGAACATTGTAGGATCGTATAGCCTTAAAAAAAAATTAAGAGAGTAACAGGTATTGCAGGTGGCAGAAGACTCGTAGCATACTGAGAAGGCTTTAGTGATTGGTGAGAGGTTGAGGGAGGCTGAGGGCAGTCTTAGGATGTGATATAGAATCATCTGGAGTGCTGCGTCCAGCTGTGGAACCCGCAGCATCGGAAGGATATAGACCGGTTGGAGCAGGGCCAGAGGAGGCCATGGAGATGCTCCGAGGGCTGGAGCCCCTCTGCCATGGGGACAGGCTGGGAGAGTTGGGGTGTTCAGCCTGGAGAAGAGAAGGCTCCGGGGGGACCTTAGAGCCCCTTCCAGTACCTGAAGGGGCTACAAGGAAGCTGGGAGGGACTTTTTACAAGGGCCTGTAGTGACAGGACAAGGGGTAACGGGTTTAAACTGAAAGTGGGGAGGTTTAGATTAGATATCAGGAAGAAGTTCTTCATGGAAAGGGTGGTGAGGCATTGGGACAGGTTTCCCAGAGAAGCTGTGGATGCCCCATCCCTGGAAGTGTCCAAGGCCAGGCTGGATGAGGCTTGGAGCAACCTGGTCTAGTGGAAGGTGTCCCTGCCCATGGCAGGGGGTGGGACTCAGACTATTCCATGATTCCAACTTCCAACTCAGACTATTCCATGATTCTATGATCTCTTCTCTCTTTCACCAGGCAATCAGCAGTTAGATGCCATTCACGTGACACAGCTGGAAAGAGACACTGTCCTGGTCTGCCTGGACAGTAAGTAACACGTCTCTGTTGGACAACTTACTGCTAGACCTTGTACCAGACGTGTTCTGCCACGGATGTCGATTTTGATTCTACCACATGTTAATTTTTCTCCATTCAGTACTAATTTGTGCTGCAGTGTTCCCAAACAGATGTAGTTCAGATAAGTGGGTTTTCATTTTGCCTCTGGTGATTCCACTTTTCCCTCTTTTGTGCGTATCGTTCTTGTTCCTTTTCAAAATGAAATGTGTTGCAGCATTACAGATAAACACAGGCCAGTCAGAAACTTTTGGGATTGAGTGGGACAAGGGGATAGTTGTGTGTGCTAGCAGGACGAAGAGCTAACGCTCCGTCATACGCAGCAGTTATAACCAGTTATAAGCAGTTCATGGAGCAGATCCTCCTAGA